TTAGAAGGAGGCACTGCTGACCAGCTGATGGATATCCAGACGAGTTTATCCAATTCCGAATATGCTTGAAAAGTGATAAATCATGCACAAAATATTGGAAGATGGAGGCTAAAGGGCACTTCATAGTATTGAGATTGTATTTTTTGCACCTACATCTAACACTAATCTGGAAACATTATTCCATTTAGAAATGCATCAAAAGCTGTTTTCAAAGCACAGCGAGTGAGTCGGGCCCACATACATGCTCTAGCATTTTTGAAACTGCTTTTACCAAGTCATTACACTTTAATGATGTGATTGATGACTTTGCTTCTCCCAAAAGCTGCAAAGGCCTTTTCTGACTTTGTAAGCATCTTGCATGTCAATAGTGTTTGTGTCTGGTTTCTTAGCTCACTTGCAACATGCTCTATTTGTGTAGTTGTGAGCCAGGGGACAAGCATTGCTAAATAAAATGTAACTAGCAAAAATAGAATGCGCTCAAACTCCACTGTATTTACTCATTAAGATGTGAAAAAAACGAGTAGTCCTATAGCACTATATTATGGGTATGTCTACACTATGAGATAAGGTCTAATTATGAGATGAAACTTCAGCCGCATTAATTGCATAGCTGAAGTCAAAGTACCTTAACTTGACTTTTGGCACTGTCTACACTGCAGGAAGTCTAAGGGAGAACACTAATCTGGAATAATCATTTTATGAGGAGTAACAGTTATTTTGAGAGAAGGGTTTTCTCTCGAAATAGCGCTGCTACATGGGGCATTTTATTTCACAATAACTCAATTTCAAAATGGTGCCCAGGCGCGATTATGCTAATTAAGCACGGGATATTTAAATCCCGCGCTTCATTAGCAATTTCAGTACACTACATTTGCATCCTTATCTCGAGGTAGGGAGCAAGTGTAGATGACCCTTAGAGATTAACAAATATATATATAGTATCATGAGCTTTTGTGGGCAAAACCCACTTCCTCAGATGAAAGTGGAGAAAAAAGGTGGAACCTCACTATTAAATTGTGGTTTGTATATAGTTGCAGTCTGCATTAATGGAATTAAAAAAGGGTTTGAACAATCAACACCCAGAGGGCAGCAGTAGATGACATCCTTTGGGGGACAGCCTGCTTTTGCATTGCACATCAGTTAATCTAAGCTGGTTATATAGCTGTAGTGTAAGTAACCAACCATTTGAGTTTTCCTAGAGCAGCCCAGAATTTGTCATTCTGCATCGTGAAATGAGGAAATATTTCAAGCAGTGCAGGCCTGTGCTAAAGGACCATCAACTTCAGCAATTCTTCTCGCCCTGGTGGAGTAATGGTATCCACAGGAGAGCACTTGGAGATCGATGTATTATGTCTAAGCAGATGCGATAAATCGATGGCTGGTGGATCGATCACTGCAGAATTGATCCCTGGTGTGGTGGAGACAAACTCTGAAGTGTCACCAATGCCTGAGGCCCCAGCGAAGCCCACATAATTCAAGTAGCTGCTTCACAATGCAGACAAAGGCATAACAAAACCAAGATCAGTCAGACTGACCTGAGGAAAATCCTTTCCCAGCCCCATTTATGTGAGCTTTTTTCCACCAGGCAACTGAAAAGGATTCTCTGGACCATGTCAGGGCTCTAGTCCACCCTGGTCCAACGTATGATGAAATCCTCATGCTTCTAAGGAAGTATCCACTCCACTCCTGGCCAATTGAGCACTGAGGGAAGCATCCCTTCCTGACCCCTGCAGGTGACTGGCTGCAGCCCTGAAGCATGAGATTAGACTAGAATATCTGTTTGAATGCTAAGATGAAAGAGCTATGACTGTGTTGAAGGAGATCCAGACAATCCTCTTCTCCCCATGGAGAAAGGGGATGAACAACATGACCCATAGTCAGAAGTTTCAGGAGCTAGCCGAGTTAGTCTGTAACAGAAAACAACAACAAATGGTCTGGTTGCACTTTATAGACTAACGAAACATGTAGATGGTATCATGAGCTTTTGTGGGCACAGCCCACTTCTTCAGGTGACCGGACTTATGCATTTAGGATGTGCATACTCAAAATAAATAGGAGAGGGGAAGGGGAGAGGGTGGGGAAAAAAAGAAGGGGGGTGGGAGACAGGGAGCTAGAGGGAATCAGTAAGTATCTGAAGGTTGGGTAGTTAAAATGAAGCAGATAAGAATCAAAGTCAATAGATAGTATCCTTTCTGACATAAGAGGCTACACAAAGAGCTGTTTGCACCTTCAATGGCTCTTAAGTTGGTAGTGTCCCAACCAACTTTCATTATGATTGAGTCCATTAGCATGTGAATTGAATTTGCAGATGAACTCTAATTCCAGTGCTTCTCTGTGGATCTGGCTAGTAAAACTGGTTTGTGACAAGACAGCTACTTGAAGATCTTTTAAACAGTGATTCGGAAGATTGACGTGTTCCCCAATAGGTTTCTGTATGTTTCCTTTATGTACATCTGATTTGTGTCCATTGATTCTTTCCTGCAGAGACTGTCCAGTTTATCCAATATATATAGCAGTGGGGTACTGCTGGCATTTGATGGATTGAATTTACTGGATGTGCAGTCAAATGAACTTTTGATTTGGTAGCTTTTGTTGTTGGCTCCTGTGATGTATTCGCCAGTATATATACGTGGGCAGAGTTGGCGTCGTGTTTGGTTGCAGGGCTGGGTTCCTGGAGGCTTATGATGTAGTTGTGTGGCATGGTTACCAGAAAGAATTTATTTCAGGTTGGGGGGTTGTCTGTAAGCAAGAATAGGCTTTTCTCCCAAGGCCTCTCAGAGTGAGGGATCGTTTTCCAATATGGGTTGTAGATTGTGTATAATGTGCTGGAGGGGTCTGAGTGGTGGACTTAAGGTGGACTAGAGGACAAGAGGAGTTCTGTTATTTTCTCTTGGGGCCTGTCTTGAAGTAGTTCATATCTGGGTACTTTTTTGGCTCTGTCAATTTGTCTTTTCACTTCACCAGGTGGGTATTTCAGTTTTAGGAATGCTCTGTAAAGATTCTGTAGGTGTTTGTCTCTGTCTGTGGGGTCGGAGCAAATCCGGTTGTATCATAGGGCTTGGCTGTAGACAATAGACTGAGAAATGTGTTTGGGATGGAAGCTGGAGGCATGAAGGTAAGTGTAGCAGTCAGTGGGCTTCCCATATAGGGTGGCGGAAGTTTGTCCATTATTTATCCACTTCCTGGACACTACAGCACAGTTAAATAATGGACAAATGTCCACCACCACTAGATTCTTATCTGCTTCGTTTCAACTACCCAATCTTCAGATACTTACTGATTCCCTCTAGCTCGCACCCACCTTCTTTTTTCTTCCCTCCCCTTCCCCTCTCTTATTTATTTTGGGTGTGCACATCCTAAACTCATAACTCCGGTCATCTGAAGAAGTGGGCTGTGCTCACGAAAGCTCATGATACTATCTACCTGTTTTGTTAATTTATGAAGTGCTACCAGACCTTTTGTTGTTTTTTTTCTATGACCCACAGTTTCATTCTTCAGCTTTGCTTGAGTCTTCAGTACCCGCTGGTCAAACCCAGTACCAGTCCCAATGGTGGCACGAACACTGGGCTGCAGGCCATGCAGCACGAGGGGATTATTCTTGGCACCTCTTTTTATTCCTTTATTCCCGTAGGCTAGGTCTACACTATCACTTTTTTCGGAAAAAGCTATGCAAATTGTGACGCACAATTTCCGTAGCTTTTTCCGATTGCTTTTCCAGAAGAGGCTTTTCTGCATTGAGACTGAGGTAGACAGGGCTCCCTGAAACAGCGTATTTGCTCTTCCAGGAAAAAAAGCAGAAGAGCAAACGTGTTCCTGGGACGCGGCAGAGTTTTCCCTGGCAGTCTAGACATACCTTTACGCGCTGTCCCACTGTTGGCAGCCCCATGGGTGTAACTACTCAGGAGCACTACTGCAGTCTACCAGCCTGCCCCACATGCTTTGGGGTGCTCCCAATCCCATTAGTTCAGTAATAACGAGCTGAAAATCCATTCTGTTCCCTGGGTGTCATTTGAAAAGTCCTGGGCCTGCATGTGCAAATGATGATGCAACTTGGGGACATTTTAAACAAAAAGAGCCTCTCAATGCTACCCATTCTTGTTGCTCTTTCCGTCATGTCACACAGGCTCAACAGCTTTTCTAGGCTTCCTAGTGACACCCAGACAATGTGACAATCCTGGAACTGTCTTATACAGCCGCCTCACTGCTCTTCAGGAACAGATCTCATACCAGTCCAAGGAGGCTGTCAGGACCCTTCTTCCCACTCCGCAGATGGGTAAAGTTAAGCACAGAGGGAAAAGTCACCCTGCAGGCCAATGGGCAGAGCCTGAAGCAGAACTCATGTCCCTGAGAACCCGGCCAGTGCCCCACCCACTAGGCAAGCTGCCCCTCTCCTGCTATTTTTACTATTTATGAGCCCCTGGTCATGGACCACAACTGCAGTGCAGTAGGTCAGCAATGGGCAATCTATGCTAGTGAGTGGATGTCACGTTACTGGATTTTGAAGAGAGCAGCCATATCACTGCTGCACCTGTGGGGGGGGAGGGGGTTGCTCCAAAAGTGGGTATAAAGGGGGCCATGTGAGGTGTCAAACAAAAGCTTACTTTATACTGATTCTATATATGCTATTCATGTAATGGTATAATGTCTGTGTGTGAAGTTATAAGTATGTATTCTGTGTGGATACTGAATATTTCTCTGTTTGTGTCTGAGAATAGACGAAGAATGCTCAGCCTATAGACATGCTAATGAGCAAGTCTCAAAGGAAGAATGGGTCTCTGGAGGCCAAAGACACACCTGGCCACTGGCCATGTGACTCTAGCCAGCTTGGAAGAAACCAGGAAGGAGGTATAAATATGCCATGTGGTCGACTCCATGTTGGTCTTCAGATCTGCTTCTGACCCCAGATGCGGCCTCGCAGGGAATCACGAGCCGGGAAGAACTGTGGACCCATCCTGCCATAGGATGTGCACCAAGGACTTTTAAGCCAGCAGCTGTAACATCTCTGCTGCAAGCCTGCATCAAGAACTGGGAGATTCGATGCATGTAATGTATAATACTTTAACAACCTTACTCTCATGCTTTTCTTTCTTGTAGTAATAAACCTTTAGGCTGTGTCTACACTGGCACCTTTTTCTGGAAATGCTTAAAACGGAACAGTTTTCCATTATAAATATTTCCGGAAAAAGAGTGTCTACATTGGCAGGATGCTTTTCCGGAAAAGCCCTTTTTCCGGAAAAGCATCTGTGGCCAATGTAGACGCGCTTTTCCAGAAAAAAGCCCTGATCGTCATTTTCACGATTGGGGCTTTTTTGCGGAAAAGACTACTGTGCTGTCTACACTGGCCCTTTTCCGGAACAGTTTTCCGGAAAAAGGACTTTTGCCCGAGCAGGAGCAGTATAATTTTTCCGGAAAAGCAGCTGATTTCTTACAGTAAATCGTCACTGCTTTTCCGGAAATTCAAGGGGCCAGTGTAGACAGCTCGCAGCTTATTCCGGAAAAGCGGTTGCTTTTCCAGAATAAGTGGCCCAGTGTAGGCACAGCCTTAGATTGTAGATTCCAAAGGATTGGCTCAGCGTGATTTGTGGGTAAGATCCAGAGAGTAAATTGACCTGGAATCTGTGGCTGGTTTCTTGGAACCAGAGAGGACTTGTTCGGGGAAGGTGAGATTGGGTTTTAAAACCCCTCACCTGTGGGCAGGTCCGGGGCCGTCTGGGGCATGGATGTTGCTGGGGTGTCGGAGGGGTTTTGCTCATGAGGCTTCAGGCAGGCAGCTGAAGCGCTCTGTGGGACTGGTTTGTGGCCTATTAGGAAAGGTCTCCAGCCTGGGGGCTGTAAGGAGCCCCGAATTTGAGCAATTCACCCTGAGCGGATGCCCTCAGCTGTGCCCAGACCCGGCCCGGCCGATTACAGTAGGCTGCAGGAGTGGCCTTCATGCATCTCAGTGGGCCGCAAGATTGCCGTGACCAAGACAGCCTCCTGGGATAGGGTAGTTTTGCTAACTGTGCTTGCATACCTAGAATTTGTGGGGCGTGTTGACTAAACCACACCAGCACTTTGATTGGCTGCAGGGGGAGCGCTTGGCTCTCACAGTCAAAGTTTTGTGCAATCAGCGTGCACCTCACTTCATGTGTCTTTGCTTTATGTGCGTGTCACTTTAGTAATACTAGTAGGAAAAAACTAAGCAGCCAGACTTAGCAGAACCTGACAACCCTGAGTGCGGGCAAGGATAAACAAAATGTCTTGGGGCCACACCCAGAACCCCAATGGGTCTCATGCAGCCCGCAGACTTCAGGTTGCTCACCACTTTGCTAAGTTCTCTCTATACACAGACCAGAGATAATACCTGAGAGCATGGCCCAGTGGCTATTATACTACACTGGGGCCTGGGAGATCTTTTCTCTCTTTGGCCTTCCAGGCCACCCCTCTCTGTGCTTCAAACCCCTCACCTGCAAAAAGGGGACTGTAACCATGCCCTGCCCTGCAAAAAATAATCTATCCAGGAGGTGAAACTAGAAGATCACATTGGTCCCTTCTGGCCTAAGAATCTATGCAATATCACATTAACTCATCAGTATCAGCTGTTGGATGAGGGACAAAGAGATCTCTCGTTTGGGCACCTATAAACCTGGGTGGGACATATCAGCCGTTTTTTTTGAAGCAGGAAGATTTCTATCCTGTGGCTTGTCCAAGAGAAACCTAAACACCGAGTTGGATGTAAACCGATTGCTAGCATTGAAAGATGCGATGTGCTGCAACAGGACACTGGAGTTACGTCTATACTGCACTCTTCTTGTGCAAAAGCCTATGCAAAAGAAGCACGGAGTAGCATATTGCCATGCTTCATTTGTATAATTAATTAGGGGCCGTTTTTGCACAAGAGGCTTTTGCACAAACCCCCCCTTGCACAAGAGCTGTTCTTCCTCATTTTTTCAGGAAGAACGGCTCTTGTGCAAGAGGTTTTTTGTGCAATAACGAGCTGTGTAGACGGCTCCTTTTTGTGCTAAAGCTCTTGTGCAAAAACACCCCCTAATTAATTATGCAAATGAAGTACAGCAATATGCTAATCCATGCTTCATTTGCATAGGCTTTTGCATGAGAAGAGTGCAGTATAGACATTGCCTGGGTGTGTGTATTGGGGGGGAACCTAACATTGCATGCCCCTACTCCAGAAGCCCAAGTTCTGAGTGTAGAATGAGTCAGTTACATTGGGCGACTGAAGCAGCAAGAGGATGCGACTAGCAAAGAGGTTCTCTAGTTTTTGGTCAGACTTTGTAATCCTCATTCCTCTCTTCTCTCTCTCACGCAAGGGCCAGAGGGACATTTTCTGGGCTCTCTGGTTTTAAAATCAAGCCGTAGAAGATCTGAAATGTACCTTTGTTCCAGTCCTTTCCAGCAAAGTATATTGTCCCAATGGAGGCTTTTAATGGCAGGCAAAGAATGCAGCATTTGGGAGAACCTATTATTACTGACCTACTGCACATGTCTCTAGAGAACTTCCCCTCTTGATACCAGGCAAACAGATCCTGGTGGGTGGGATCTGCAGCTTTCCCTGTGGAGGAGCATTAACGGCACTGAAAAGGAATTATGTAGGAATTATGTGCTCAAGATAAACGACCCACTGTGTGTGTGTCACCTAAGAAGAGTCGATAGTTTATATTTAAGAGGATTGACTCTGAGTCAGCATCTGTGAAACAGGAGGAGATTTAGACTTGTGCTGAAGTAACTACACATTCTCATCTTCCTTGAAGGTCTGGATCTCACTAATCCATGTCTGTACCCTCTTGCATTTAAGATGAAATAAGACCTGAAGTGGCTAGTGGCTTAATTGGTCTCGTCATGATGTCGAATCCCTGGCTGAGACAAATTATTCATCAGATGCACGCCTGGAACACAGCTGGCCATCACACTCAAAACATAGGATGAGACCAGACCTCCAAAGCAAAATAGGACTTGAGCAACAACCTTTGCTTTCATTACTGAACAGACCAAAGACACTTGGCTGGAGTTATGGGCTTGCTAAGCAAAACAATGAGTGAAGTTAGTGGTTGATATGACCATCTGGCAGAAGTATCCCAGGCTCAGGGGTGCTATTAGATAAAATTAGCTTTCATGAGAGTGCACTAAAGTTGATTGGATTCGGAGATTCAAAGGAGAGGTTGAGAGCTTGGTGGGCCAATTCTGGAGGAGAGTTCCAAATGGAGGGGGCCTAAGACAGTGCAAAAGATGCGGAGACAAGTTACAAAAAGGATGATGGAAGCTTGGGCCGAGTACAAATAGCAAGAGACAGGGGATAATAAGCGATAAGGGCAGAGGTGGAAGCAGGCATGGAGTTGTGCAAGTAGCAGTCAAGGTTCACTAGTGTGATGTCCTGACAGGTTTCCTGCTCTGTCAGTGATGATAATCGTTCATCTGCTTGCATCCATGTGTTTGCTCCCCTGTTTACTGTGTTGACCCTGCGCAATAAGTCAACACAAGAGGCTCCGAGAGAACCCCCAAAGACCACAAAATCAGATAAGGATCACAAGAGCCAGCCGGGTTTATTGTAGGTGAGGTACAGTCCTAGCTTCCCTGGGTCAAAGGGTCTACAGTCAGGCTAACGCATGTTTGCCTGTTACAATGGACTGACTCAGTGCCAGGGATGAGACACTGTCCCCTAGGTCAGTCAAAGACAGCTTCCTCCCCCACCAAGCAGAACCCATGGGTTGGATCCAGCCCTGGCTTGCCTGACTCTGGCCCGTGATGCTTCGGGTTTCTCCCCCTGAGAGCCATGGGGGTACCGCAGGACTGGAGCACCAGCATCGGCTCCCTGATGCCGGAGGGGGGCACCTTGAGCCATGGAGATGGGATCCAGTAAAGTAAGAGAGCCAGATCCAACTACAGACTGTAGATTTCCCATCCCTGATCTAGTGAAGTAACCAGCAGGATTTTGCAGCAATGTTGTCTCCTTAATAGGGATGCTGCCTTTGAAGGTAGGGGTTACAAGTGAACATGGAAATAATATCATTTAGTGTTCTCTGGGTGCTTGGTGAGACTGCATCTGTCTTAGTCCCTACAGGCTTCTCTGGCTAAACCTCACCCACAGCATCATGTTCCAACATCAGCATATGTTGGCATGTTACTAATTGTGGTATTGGACAGTTCACACTAGTGTGGTAAAAGTTTAATTTCCCTCATAGGCCTGGAATGAGAAACCTTTACATAAGAACATAAGAATGGTCATACTAGGTCAGACCAACGGTCCATTTAGCCCAGTACCCTGTCTGCTGACAGTGGCCAATGCCAGATGCCCCAGAAGGAGTGAACAGAACAGAGAATCATCAAGTGATCCCTCTCCTGTTATCCATTTCCAGCCTCTAACAAAAAGGCTAGGGACACTATTCCTACCTATCCTGGCTAATAGTCATTGATGGACCTAACCTCCATGAATTTATCTAGTTCTTTTTTTAACCTTGTTAAAGTCCTGGTCTTCGCAACATCCTCTGTCAAGGAGTTCCACAGGTTGACTGTGCGCTGCATGAAGAAAAACTTCCTTTTTGTTTTAAACTTGCTACCTATTAATTTCATTTGGTGACCCCTAGTTCTTATGTTCTAGGAACAAGTAAATAACTTTTCCTTATTCACTTCAGAAGTCATTGTTAATTCCTGCATTAAATAGGAGATGTAATGATCAGTTTAAAGGTACTTTGGAAAAATGTATTTGCTGTAAAATTATAAGCAGTAGGGGAAAACATACTAAACTTTAGAAAATTAGGCTCTTGGAGTAAATAAGCTGACAAAATGCTATTAAACTGTTAAGTGATTGTATGGTAATGCTATTGTATTTTAATTCTGTAGTTTCCATAGATGCACATTTGACAGTATTTTACAAACAGTGCATGCTACTTCCAACATAATAATTACACAGATTATGTTCTGTACAATGCACTTCTTAAACATTTAATAATAACAACTAAATAGGTTTTCAAATGTTGTTCCTATTTTTTTCCCCAGAAATACAAATCTAAGACTGCACAAGCAAAGTGAGCCCTTAGTCGAAAATCTGTTGTCACTTTTGTCATGTACAAGTTGAACCTCTCTAGTCCAGCACTCCCTGGTCTGGCAACATCCGTGTTCCGGCATGATTTTAGTTAGTTGGATGTCCACTTATCATGGGTGTGGCCAAGTTTCCCAAGGTCCCATAAAATTTGTTTATACCCACCAGTCCTGCTCTCAGTGTTCTGTGCTGTTATTTAACTCTAATTTATCCCTAAAGGTATGTCTACACTACCCCGCTATTTCGAACTAGCGGGGTAATGTAGGCATACCGCAATTGCAAATGAAGCCCGGGATTTGAATTTCCCGGGCTTCATTTGCATAAGCCGGGCACCGCCATTTTTAAATCCCGGCTGGTTTGAACCCCGTGCCGCGCGGCTACACGCGGCACAAACTAGGTAGTTCGAACTAGGCTTCCTAGTTCGAACTACCGTTACTCCTCATGGAATGGGATTTAAAAATGGCGGCGCCCGGCTTATGCAAATGAAGCCCGGGAAATTCAAATCCCGGGCTTCATTTGCAATTGTGGTATGCCTACATTACCCTCCTATTTCGAAATAGGAGGGTAGTGTAGACATACCCTAAATGTCTTCTAAGAGCCTAGTAAGTAGTGGAAATGTTGGTAAACAATATTGACCTTCTATGGTTCAGCAAATTCTCTGGTTTGGCACCAAAAAGGAACAAGGATGTACATTAAACTACCTGGGATCTCTGGAGCTTAGTGCATGAGCCTCTACTGCATGAGCTAAAAGCCCACTGGCTCTCAGCTAAGGCTGTAGAGCAGACTCATTATTCTTTCTTCTAGGTGCTTGTGACTGTAGTTTTAAAAGAAGCAATATGCCTGCTTGGAGATGTGTATTCTTGAGGGAAAATAAGTTCTTCTCTAGGAATGAAAAGTGAAAGGTTCAGGACAGAACAGTAACCGGGAAGATGCGTCAGCATCTTAGGACAGATGTTTTTTATTTGAAGGATGGTTAAGACTTTCCCCTAAATAAGCAAGGCCTTGATAATTCTCACCAATAAACAACTAGGTTGGGTAGGAGTCAAAACCGAAAGTGACGGATTTCAGGAAGCAGAAAACATATATTCTACTGTCAGCCTTAGTATACGTTTGCACAGGTGGGACCAGATTTCAAAAGAAACAGCATCCATGTCGGCACTTAAATAAGGACCAGATTTTAAAAAATAACAGAGTCCTTTGGTACCTTAGAGCCTAACAGATTTTTTAGGGCATAAGTGTTCATGGGTAAAACCCAGTTCATCAGATGAATTGGAGTGAAGTTTACAGATGCAGGAGTCTATATAAGGACAACAAAAGAAAGAGGGTACTTTGTGTAAATGAGGCTAATTAAGTCAGGGTGAAAGTGGCTCATTCACACCAGTTGAGGTAGAAATGTGGATATCAACAGAGGGAAAATTGCTTTTGCAATGTGTTAACCAATTAAGATCCTTATTCAGTCCTAAATTGATTGTATTGAATTTGCAGATGAATTCCAGTTCAGTGGTCTCCCTTTGAAATTGGGCTCTGAAGAATGCTGCTTTCAAATTCGTTCCTGAGGGTGTATCTAAACTACACCCCTCTGCCGACAGAGGGATGTAGATTAGGCACATTGCTATTGCAAATGAAGCGGGGATTTAAATATCCTGCACTTAATTTGAATAAAAATGGCCACCGCTTTTTGACAATGTGGCACTTTGCCAGCAAAAAGCGGCAGTCTAGACAGGGATCGGTCGACAAGGAAAGCCTTTTCCGACCGATCCCTTATGCCTCGGGCAACGAGGTTTACAGGATTGGTCGGAAAAGGCTTTCCTTGTTGACCGATCCCCATCTAGACTGCTGCTTTTTGCCAGTGAAGTGCCACGTCGGCAAAAAGCGGCGGCCATTTTTATTCAAATGAAGCACGGGATATTTAAATCCCCGCTTCATTTGCAACATCGATGTGTCTAATCTACATCCCTCTGTCGGCAGAGGGGTGTAGTTTAGACACACCCTGAATGTCCAGGGAGGTTAAAGTGTTCCCCTACACTGGTTTCTGTGTGTTACAATTTCCGATGGCTGATTTTTAACTGCTCCTAATGCCTCCCAGTGGGACTCTTCAGGAGAGGTTTTCAGTCGTGTGCAGTATCCAGCTTGCACCTCTTTGGAAAATCTGGCTCCAATGGTGGGTGCTGAATGTTCTGGAAAATCTGGGCCAGGAAGCACATGAATAATGAAAACATTCAAATATTCCCCAGTTCTCATTTTCAAAAAATCCTAGTTCATCTTCATGCCAAATATGCATTTTCCCTTCATACTCTAATTACAACTAAAGGCTGGGGAGAGGAGGAGGAGGAGGACACTACTAATAATACTGATGACATGTCTGGCTAATGACAAGGAAGAGAAAAACAAGTTTGAATGGATCTGTGAACAATAAACTGGAAATGACTCATGCTTAATAAACCTCTTCATTGTTAATCCCTGTTCACCTGGGGGCTGTTTCACTTATTTCTAAATGTCTAGTTCTCACCTTCTGTTAATTTATTGAAAAGAAGGATCTTTCATTATTACACTTTATTGTGTGTTTTTTTTCCTGCGGAAGCTTTTGTAAGCCTATGCAGAGACCTCTGCCAGCTAAATGATTTTAGCACAGTTACTTTATATTGCTGGCAAAGATCACATCTTTTCTTCTGGCCTAGGCAACACTAGGCCTTTTGACCGTTTGTTGAAGTAAGAGTATGTGTCATTGCTCCATTCTCTGTGCAGTCCTGCTCCACCTTTTGTATATACCAAACACTGACAACAGGAAGCAAATGCATTGAAAGACGAAGGGGATCACAGGTGCATTGTGGAGTCCATACTCCAGATATCAACAGTGTGAATGGACCCCGAGAACTGTTTTTGGCTATGCAACTGCAGGAAATCCCACCCAGACTTCATTCTGATTGGAGGAGAGGGGTGCCTGTTTAGAAATGACAGCACAGGCTGCTGGATGTACTCCTGTACCTGCACAGCAAGCTGAGACTTTGAGTGCTGGGAAGGGGGCATCCTGAGTATATGGCCCCTGGGAATCAGCCAGCTATAAAAGGAAAGAAAACACGCTGATGAATGACAGGTGCGGGATGGGCACTCGGACTGAGGTTTGCTGATAAAGGGGATGGTTATGACGGCTACGGGTGACTTCTGGGGGGAATTCCTGCCTCTCCAAAGGCTGTAGGCGGAATCTCCATCCCAAGACTAAAGGTGGAAGTTGGGAACTTCCTACCAGAGAGGGGATGCCCCTGTTGAAAGTCAGAGTCGTATTTAGGACACACCATTGACAACCATGTTTTTCAAGCATGACACACAATTTTGTAACTGCTTTTACCTGCCATGGAGTCATGCCCAGGAATTTATTCTGGGCTACTGTCTCTGAAGAGGGGGAAAAAAGACACTGATGGGATAGAGTTCTCCTATTTTACATCACCTGAATTCTGTAGTCCTTGATGGTTTCTTCATTCCACCTGCCCCACTGCCTGCTTTTTAGTTTGGCTCTGAGGTTTGTTAAGTTTTGAGTCTGTGAGGTGAAATGCCGCCACTGTCATTATGAACCAGCGGTGGCACTGGAGGAGTGGGTGACTCATACTCCCTGTAACTAATCACTCCTAGTGTAAGCAGATGCTATCAATATTATTGAGTTCCCTGGAGGACCTGTGTGCTCCTTGCAATGTAGCTGCAGCCATACGCAGCTGAGTAGCGGAGGAGAGAGACTGCATATTCAGTGCTGGTGGTTGTTGTTTTATTGGCAAGGGAAATGTGAGCTTCTAAACCTGTGCCCTCTGGTTAGCAAGCAGAGGAGGTACAATGCCTACCACAGCTGCTGCCTCTCCATCTGTTCTCCCTGCACCTGTTCCTGCCATGTGAGATCCCATGCTCTTCTTTCACCACTTTATGCTACTGTTACAGCAGAAGCAGAAGTACTAGAGAAGATAAATCAGAGAGAGCAGGTGCTGCTGGGCAGTGTCTTAACAGGAGATACAATATCTTGTGTAGTTAGCACAGATATTTCTTGCAGTGTCCCTCTAGTGGGAGCCCCACCCCCTTGACCTAGGTAAGGCCCTAAGCCTCTGGGTAGCAGCTCTCAGTTCTTAAGCAGAAGACTTGGCTTTTCTAGAGCTTTCCATGGAGGGTTGTCCAGGAGAAGTCTAGTGTCCAAGTGTAGAATCCAAGTACCATGATTTTGGGGTACTAGCTGCACAGCTTGAATACCGCCCTTAGATCAGTGGTGAGCAACCTGTGGCCTGAGGGCTGTAGGCAGCCCATTGGGGTTCAAGGTGTGGCCCATGAGACATTGTCCTTACTGTCACCCACATCAAGGTTGCTGGATTCTGCTTGTTTTCATCCATGTAGGGTTTTTTTTAACCTACTGGTATTACAAGAATGATATGCAGGTAAAGCAAGGGCACATGAAGTGAGTTACATGCTGATGGCACACAACATTGACTGGGAGAGCCATGTGCTGACTCGACAACCAAGCAAATTGCTCCTAAGGTTCAATCGGCGCTGCCCGCAAATTCCAGATATGCAAAATGACCTGATTCCAGGAGACTGTCTTGGTTATAACAATCTTGCAGCCCACTGAGGCTATGTCTAGACTACAGAGTTTTTCCGGGATACCAGAGATAAAACTCCGCTGCTTCCAGGGAACACATCTGCTCTTCCG